CAGTGGAAAAAGTGTGACTGATATCGAGAATGTTCTTTCATCCGATTTGAACGCACTAAATTCCTGGTTGAATATGAATAAACTTTTTCTACATGCGGACAAGTCGGAATGTGTTCTTTTTGGCTCTGCAAAGCGGTTGCATACGATAGAAAATTTTGAGATTTCCATAAATGGGCAAAAGATTAAGCAAGTGTTTAAATACAAGTATCTTGGTGTTGTTATGGATGATTGTTTGTCTTGGAGAGACCATGTACACCATGCTTTGATGAAAGCATCCGCGAAAGTTGGAATGTTAAGGAGACTACGGAATGATATTTCGATGCATACTGCCAACATCGTTTACAAATCCTATGTTCTACCAACATTGGACTATTGTGATACGGTCTGGAATTGTTGCAATACCGGGGATGAAGAAAAGCTTGAGAAAATACAACGTAGAGCAGCAAGGATAGTGATGAAGGTGAACTGTAGTGATGACGCGTTACATGATTTGCGATGGGAAACTCTGAAAAACAGGAGAGAGCAGCATGTTCTTAAATTAGTTAAGAAATGTGTGAAGGGAATTGTTCCTCAATTCTTATGTGACTATTTTAGTTTTAATCGTCAATTGACAGTAAGAACTACCCGCCAAAGCAATTTATTGCATCTGCCAAAAGTTAGAACAGAAATGGCGAAGAAATCTTTTTACTATAATGGAGCTAAGGTTTTTAATCGCTTAGGTCACAGTCTTCTCTAGATACTTTTAAACTTTCAATGGATTTTAACTTAAGTAATATATTAATATCATATCATAGCTAATAGTCTGACATTAGTGTAGTTTTTATAACATAATTGATAGAATGTACTATAGAACTTATTGTAGTTATATAGGGCTCTCGTTGATAACAGACCAGTTGTGGTCTGATGAGACCACCCTATCAAAATAAAAGTTTTATCTATCTATCTATCTTAAACGTAATAAAAGAACCTGTGGTATTGTTAACCATTTTCTGGATTGTCATGGTGCTGATTATTTATTGTTGAAATTCATGTTAATTGATCAGCGCCAGGGCAACCTAAGGGAATGTGAAAATTTTTGGATTGGTATGCTATTGACTAATCAAAGAGGACTTAACTCTACGCATGATTTTGTACAACAATACGATTAGATTAATTACTTAGCATGCTAAATAGTATAAATGCCATGTGCTGTAACTTAGTTTTTATTCTGAGGAAGGCCGTGTCAAGTGGCCGAAAATTTATTTGTAAACTTTACTTTAGTCATCTTTAATAAATTCTTCGATACGTAGCCATCTCTTTGTCGTAATATTATGTGCTGTTGGCTAAGGCAAGTTTTGGTCATTGTCGTATATATATATATATATATATATATATATATATATATATATATATATATATATATATATATATATATATATATATATATATATATATATACACAGACGACAACGGACATAAATTCGACTGGTCTCAAACGAGATGCCTAGGACAAGCAACTACTAAACATGCAAGTGAGTTTAAAGAAGCGTGGCATAGTTTAGACAAACAAACATTTAACCGTCACATTGACATCCCTACAATTTACTTACAACTGAAACGCTCGCACAAATCTCCTAATTCATCTTCATTAACCTTTAACCCACCTTCAACTTTCTTCCCTACACCGTCTCATGATAACAATGATCACCCGCATTCCATAGTAACCAATGGCAACCAACATACTGAGATCCATCAACCAATCAGACGTTCCCACAGACTTCAACAGCGTCCGCAACAACAGCGCGAAAATTCAAATGATCAAACTTTCTGATGAAGACTCGAAGAACCGAGTCGAAAGCTCAAAACAAATAATTACAATCCGGAGAACACTGTATAATTTTGTAAAAATTATTATTTAATAAAACAAAAGATAGATAGATAGATAAAGATAAAATAAACCTGGTTTACTTCATAAGATTTATTCACTAAATAATGAATTATCTTTATCTTTATTAGCTCTATCTATACTTCGGTATATCGAGCACTCTACTCATATATGATTCTAAATACATCTAAATACATCTAAATATATATATATATATATATATATATATATATATATATATATATATATATATATATATATATATATATATATATATATATATATATATATATATATATATATATATATGATGTTATAATTTTCTGAATTTTGTAAAATCTCACCCAAAATGCACGAAATGGCGTTTCAGGGGCTCTGAATTTCAAAATTTTCCCGGGGGAGCATGCCACCGGACCCCCCTACAGTGTTCGCGCCTTTGGCGCTCAACTTGCCCCCTCCTCACTTTGTAAACCCTGACTACACCACTGCTCGAAACCTTATCCGGCCACGGCAAAACAAAAAATAAAACACAAAGTGCTTACTTGCATGGCTTTTGTGTACGTATATACTAAAAGTAATTGTTCTTTTTTAAAATCATCTCTCCGTCAAATTACCACTGACCATATAGAATGTCTGTCCCCTTATATTTATTGATGATATACATATGTAAATCGCGCAATAGAAATATTAAATATTATTAAATATTATTAAATATTATTATTATTATTGTTTCTCGGCTATTACTACTGAAAAATACACATAATTCGTATTACCATGACAACAAGGTGAAATGCACGTTCAAAATTTAACAAATGTGGAACGGAAAACATTTCATGGCGCTTAGTTGGAATATTCAGAATATATATATAAGCTATGAGTTTCAATAAATGAAATAATAACAGGTGGCCATGCTTAGTTTTGGCTATATTTTGACGAACATTTCAAACTCCGTTGAAGCGTGAAGAAAAACAAAACGCCACCCGTAAGGATTGTTACACATCTGGAGAAGAAATATATTCATTTCCATATTACAAAATTAAAAAATAGTTTATTTCATCCCAACTGATCTTGATTGTATTAAAGTTTGTTTTGTGAAGTGCGTGTCTGTGAAGGAAATGTTAGAAGAATGTAGGGATCAGATATTAAAAGATCAACAGCAGTAACAGCTGGTACTGTAATGGCGCTCACAATGATAATCTGAAACCAAAACAAAGAAGCCAAGAAATATTTTCTACAAGCTGAAGATGCAAAGTCCAACAAGTCCAACTAATATGTTATCACCTGTTTCCAACGGAGGAGCTGAAAACACGCACAAAACAGACAAGGGAGAACAGGAAACGAAAAAACAGGAAAAATCAACGAACGAAGTTGAAAAAGAAGACTCACTAGCCCCAGATAGAACTTTACTCACATATAAAGCATTTTACTTCTTGTTTTTCGCTGGATTCGGATCAACGTTTCCTTATTTGACAATTTATTTCAAACAAATCGGATTAACAGCTTCATATGTTGGTACTTTATCAGGAATACGGCCGCTAGTCCAGTTCGTTAGTGGCCCATTCTGGGCTTATCTGGCCGACAAATATCGCAGTAGGAAACTTGTACTATGTATGTCTGTCGTCGCTTGGCTTATATTCACTTTAGCTTTAGCGTTTCCACAACCGAAGAACACACAATGCGATACACTCAATTCAACTATTCATGTTCAAAAACGAAACATTCATCGAGCAATGTCGTATTCTGGTCTTCCCTTAGCTCCCATTCCCGCGGCTGTATCTGAAGGTCTTTTAGCTAACAAGAAATCTGCAATAGGTTTTTCCGCCAAAGATAAGATAGAAACAACTAAAGTCATTGTTCATGATAAAAATGAACTCAGAAACTTATTTTATATATTCTTAATCCTAATAGTAGTTGGTGAGGTCTTTGAAGCGCCATCATTCATCATGATTGACACCGCGTTAATTCAAAAACTCGGAGACAAATGTCATGACTATGGAAAAACGAGATGCTTTGGCTCACTAGGGTATGGCTTAGCTTCATTTGGTGTTGGTGCAGTGTTAGACACAACAAGATACATTTATTGTGGACGAGAAATGAACAATTACATGGTTATTTTCTACTTCTTTGTTGTATTCATGGTGATAGGGTTGATATTTGTACTCGTGCTTTTTACCTTCAAGTATAACGAAGATTCTAGTAGCAACACTTCTAGCATTTTTCAAGTTTATAAACTATGCTTTTCAGCAAAGTATGCAACATTTTTACTTACTGCTTGGTTCATGGGCATTGGTAATGGAGGACAAGTGACATTTATAAACTGGTATTTGGAGGATCTAGGCGCTACTAAGTTTATGATGGGTTTAACTACAACCATCAGAGCAACGGCTGTTATTGTAGGCTTCTTCTGTTCTGGTGTGGTCATCAACAAACTAGGAGAGTTACCATCAGTATTTTGGTCGTTGTTAGCATTTGCTGTTATATTTTACGGTTACTCGTATCTTGTTAACCCATGGTTGGTTATCCCGCTAGAGATATTACAGGGCTTCGTTTACGCAATCTCTTGGTCAACCTGTATCGTCTATTTGTCAGCGGTAGCACCAGATGATGGTGCAGCCACGATGCAAAGTAAGTTGTTTATTGTGTTAAAAATAAAGCCGGAAGTTTGCCTTACTGTATAGGGATGCGATACCAACTTTTTAATTCGATACGATACCAAGTACGATACTTCAACTAAAACGTACAGCGATCACGTCATCAAGTTTAATTAATAAAAGTGATCAATTACATGAACTAGTCATAACTCATGTCTTCTGCCGTTTACAAATACAATCACAAAGCCCAATGTGAAAGTGTGAATTCATGTAGTTCTATTATTCTACATTATTTTGTGAATAATATTGCATACAAAAAACACCTATATTTTTGTGATTTTTATAAACACTGACCAAACATATCGCAGGTTCAAGTGATATCGAAATTACCAATACTTTTCGCAAATATAGTATCAATATTTGCTATTGGCCCATCCATACTATACCTTACTGAAATTACTTAATTGATATGTCTAAATAATGAACCTATCTGATATTTAAAATGAAGTATATGGAGACATTTTTATGGGTCGACTACGGAAACCAGTTTAACAGAACTGGAAAAGGTTTTTTGTAATCCGACGTATATATAAAACATATTTTGAGAATCCTTGCTTCTTTAGTCGGATTCCTATTGGAAATGTACCAAACAAGGCATTTTTATCGTTATACTTGTTGATTTTGGGTAAGATCTAGTGAACTCCGTGTCTTTTATCGGAGAAGTAAAATAAATTGGGTTCACAGGGTAAGAAAAAGAAGTAAGAAAAGCCCGTGATATCATGGTGACACTATTAATAACGGCATGTTGTAATTTTCCCTAGGTATTCTCCAGGGTATCTACTGGGGCCTTGGGACGGGCATTGGTGCTATTCTCGGTGGAATATTGATCAACCAGTATGGTATAGTTTCAGCTTATCGTATAGGTGGAACAGCAACGATAATTGTGATGATGTATTTTGTAATATCTCAGTGGCTACTCAGAAAGTACGAAGCTACATCAAATCCATCTCATAAAGATGAAGTAAAACTAACAGACGATTCTGAAAATTCAGAAACTGAAAATATACCAAAAAAAGATCCATAGATTATTCTTTTTGAATTTTTTCTGCATGTTTAGATTGTTTTGTAAACAGTCATTTTAAAAATGACAGTGTGGTATGTCTATTTTACTATAATCCTTTGCGGATCGTGGGCTGTCATACGAGATTTGTTGCATGCGCTTCCTCCAAGATCCCTTCTGTGGTCTCATGCATTTAATTTAATTTAATTAACTTTGCTAATGAACGAGCACCAACTTTTGCCACGACCTATATACGTACCGTAAATGATCTAACTTTCCAATTTTAAGAGGAAGCGTTTATGTATGGGATAACAGAAGGCTTATTCTTCAATACGGCAGTTTTATACGCCTTAAACAACACTGTCCAGCAGTTTGCAGGGTAAACAAAACCAAAAACTCTTCAACTACCAATGAACTACCATACTTTAACACTCCATTTCAATAATTTAACAAGTGCTTACATTAATAAATGCATGTTTAATAGACAAATGTAGCTAACGTTTGTTTATACCCAATTTACAACTTTAGATAACCCAGATGCCTAGTTGCATTGTTCTAGCTCAGAGAAGTATAGAAAGCTTTAGAATGATCTACTTATGAGCGAATAAATAGTACACATAATTTCTCTATTCTATGTTTCTGTAAACTAGAACAATAGTTACTATAGGTATATGAGTTGAATTTCGTAATATAATAATTATATATTTCTTCCATTTTCGACTATTATCTTACATATTTCTTCCTTTTAATATCATCTTACATATCTTCCCTTCACTTTTTTAGCGCCTGCCGGGCTGCTCCCCTCCCCCCCCCCCCGCCACATACGCTTATGCTAGAGCTGTTACATCAGATGGGTAGTTGTAGAGAGTTTCTAGATTGTTTTTGATCTGCATGGCAGGATCGTGAGGGGAGGTGTGGGGAGGTACGCACTCGTCTGAGAGGGATAGTCTAAATGGCGTGGGTCCAGCGAAAATGGCGCGGGTCCAGTGAAAATGGCGCGGGTAACAAGTTCCGAAGCGCGAGTAAAAAGTTCCGAGGCGCGGGTAACAAGTTCCGAGATCAATTGCCCGGTACTTATATTCAAGATGGCGGCTATTTTGACTATAAAAATTCTGCAATTATTCGGTCAAATATTGTGAATGTCTCATTGATACCTATGCACATTAGATGCATAAAGTCATGTTCTTGATTTCAGGCCAGGGGGGTGGGTTGACCGTTGCACTTCCCCCCAAATTTTCCATCACCCCCTCCCACATCGAAATACGGCCTTGTTGATCTGTCGTACGACTTGAGTTAGACAAAAATAAAGCAATACCTTAGTAACATAAAACCAAATTATTTGAAAGTTGGATATTCAAGTTATAAATATTTGTCTCAGCTATAGTACTTAACGATTTCTTATCAAAAGTACAAGCAATTTTTTGGATATGACCTGTTCACCTGACACCGAGCTACCTGCTTTGTTTTGTTCGTCTAAACTATTACACCACACCAATTGATTTGATTTGATGAGATTGAATTGCGAGTCAGTGTGAGACAATATTGATACAAATAATGTGGGGTCATAGACCAAAAATATTCCTTGAAAATCACTGCCAGAATGTTACTGACAATCGCTGAAGAAGTCTTCGTTTCCTGTTAGAGAAATGCGTTCGAAACAGCCATGGCAGATAAACAAAGACCTGTTCATCTACAAATCGTTCTACTTCTTCTACTTCGGGGCTTTAGGAGCAATAAATCCCTACCTTCCAGTCTATCTACGTCAAATTGGACTCTCTGCATTTGCTGTCGGACTGTTAGTTGGTATTAGACCTATTGTACAGCTAGCCAGCGCGCCATTTTGGACTGTAGTAGCGGACAAGTTTAGAAAGCGGAAAGCAATATTGGTTATGTCTATTATGGCTTGGTTAATAATGACTATAGCTTTAGTGTTTGTTGAACCTACTGAGGAGATTTGTGAATTTACTGCTAAGAACAGTTCACATGATGTTTTGGTGAATTATACAAAACATAAAACAGGGTTTTTCAAAAGATCTACTGACAGACCTGTGGTCTTGCCAGCACGACTTGCAAGGTCGATAGATATACTTCGAGGAAGCACTTTAAGGACTCCATCTGTTCTAAGTAGCAGAACTTCTAAGGACTTTCGGAAAAACGAAAAATTAATTCCTGGGGAATCAAACTTCAGAGAATCAGTCTACCAAGGATATAACGAGAGCAAGAACCATGTCCCGGAAACCAAATCTGGCCAAATCAATGATGAATTATTCCATACAAGTCATAAGGAAAAAGAAAATACAGGTACAATATTTCTTCTTGCTGAACAAAAAGATCATAAGCACCTTGCAAATGTATTACTGAATATGACAAAAAGACTGCCAAGTGATTTAAAATCAAACAACATGTCAGCAGCACAGAATGTGTCCAGAGCAGCACACAACATGTCCAGCACACCAAAACTTTTATCAAATATAATCCCTTCCTCGGACGATTTTCAAACATCAGCAGAGGGGTCCACGGACGGACAAAACGAAGTCTTGAATCCCTTTAATATGAATGGAAAAAGCAAATCTTCTGCTGGGCAGAACTGGCAAAGTTCTTTGCAACTACACACAATCAGAGCAATCATAAATCAACAGACGTACATTACTACAACATGAACAGAGCTGAAAGTCAATATGTTAAATCCAAAGACAAAACTGTGCACTCCTCCGAAGTAAAATACAAACGCAAAAAGAAGAAGCCTGACAGAAATCGAACATTAAAAGCAACGAAGGTAAAAGGAGGCACTAAGAATACAGGCATCAAGCTAGCCCAAAGTTTGGACAAGACTAATCCTGCAAATGAAACATTAAAAGTCATACAAACCAACCTTTTTAAATCAAACACAAATGAAATGAAACGACTTTTTGTGATTCTGTTGGTACTGATAGTCGTAGGTGAATTTCTGGAGACACCTTCAGCCCCACTATCAGACGCCTCACTTCTCGAGTACCTCGGAGAAAATCGGATACACTACGGAAAGCAACGACTATGGGGATCGTTAGGGCACGGAATTGCTTCGTTTTTAGTCGGAATGCTCATGGAACGTTCGCGTCATCTTACATGCGGTGAAGAATTCATTGACTACACAACGTCATTTTCAGTGTTTACTATATTTATGTTGGTAACTTTAGTGATCTCAGCAAACTTTAAGTTTCGTTATAAAGATGTAGAAGAGACGGACAGTAGCGTTCTTTCTACTGTTCTTACGGTTCATTATATATCATTTCTAACTGCAGTTTGTTATATGGGAATGTGTCACGGTTTAATTCACAACTTTTTAATGTGGTTCCTCGAAGATCTCGGAGGATCAAAAACTCTCATGGGTCTCGCAATTTCTTCACGTAACTCTGCGGACTTGATTATGTTTTTCATTGTCAGTAAGTTAATTGAAATATTCGGACAAATCAAGATAGTATTTATAGCGTTGATATCGTACGGTACAATATTTATTGCGTATTCTACTATGAGTAATCCATGGTTTGCGCTTGGTGTCGAGTTTCTTGGAGGTTTTACTTTTGCAGCATCGTGGACTGCATGTACATCGTATTTAGCCGAGGCAGCACCCCAGGAATCTGTCACGACAATGCAAGGTGAGTAACCTGTTACATCGGACTGATAAAGTAGTATATAGAGTACATAAAGGTGATGTTACACGGAACGATTTTTAGCGTCAATTTTCCTCGCAATGGTTGTCGATTTTTTATGACATGTTACACAAGGCAACTTTTTGCGAATTGTTCGCAAAAATTAACAACAAATGGACATGTTACACGGGTCAATTTTTTCGGAATTTCAAGCTGGCAACATTTAATTGGTACTCAGTCCTCGCCACTGGTCCTCGCGCATTCCTGATCAAAGAATTTGAAGACCTCAAACTTTTCCACACACAAATGAACTCGGATGCTGTATGTTCAAAATCAAATTCTTCGAGTTCGTTCATAGCCGCTTGCTTCTCTCCTTTTGAATATTTAGTCTCGTTAGACCAACGATACTTTCATAAATGAAATTAGTTTTAGCCGTTGAGAATCGTCCAAACGACTTTGCTCAGGTTGTTCCTGTTCTACTTCTTGTTCATCTTGTATTCCCGCCATTTTGTTTGTTGACAATATGCCTCACTTCAGTTCTCGCTCGGTCGCTCCAAAAAGTAAAATAATGTATTCTGGGAAGGCGTTGCGCAAAAAATCGTTGGCAATGTTATTACACGAATCAAATTGTAGAAAATTGGTCATTCGGCGTTGCAAATTTTTGAAGCTTGATCAAAAACTTGCAATGCGTTGCCGTTGTCGAAAATAATTGCGCGTGACATGTTATACACGGCACAATCTTCCGCGCAACTGCAATCCCGCGAAAAATTGACGCTAAAAATCGTTCCGTGTAACATCACCTTAATGCAATCCCCGACCGAATAACATTCACCATCCACCTTTCCTACACTCTATAGTCTAGTTTCTTCAGCAGCTTTCAGTTATCTTCGG